TTATTATTGTTATTGTTACTTTGTTATTGTTATTGTTATTGTTATTTGTATTATTATTATTATTGTTATTGTTACTTTTATTGTTATTATTATTAATTAATCATGGCATCAAACCCGAACGCTTCCTCCTCCTCTAGAAAAGCCAAGTCAAAACGTAGGGAATCACCAAATCCAAACACTTCAATGCCTATGCCCCCCCTAACATGCCCTTTCTCTCCCCTAACATGCCCTTTCCAAACACTTTCACCCCTTTCTTTCATCCCCAAAACACGGGAGGGCAAGAACAAATGGATGATATGGCTCCTTAGACCCAATTTCAACAAAGCCAATTTCAACAACATGAATTTCCTTTTCCTCCTCTTTCCCAAGGTAGCCAAACACAATCCTGCGGGTCGAGTGAACCATCCACCCAAATGCCCAACACCCAAAATCCTAACATATTAGAGTGGTGTACCGAAGAGGATTTTGCTCAAACCAAAAGAAAGAGTGAAGTTTGGTCACATTATCAATTAAGTAAAAATGGACAAAAGGCCAAGTGTCGGACTTGTGGTAAAATTTTCTCGGCCGATACCAAGGGAGGGATGGGACACCTTAATAGACATACAAAAAAATGTGGTGGACCATCTAGTGATCCAACCCAACCCAAAATTTCTCAATTCCATCCACAAGGCTTCATTTACAATTACGAGAGAGATAGGGATGAACTTGGGAGAATGATTGTACATGCGGAACAACCTTTTCTTTTCGCCGAAAATGATGCCTTCAACAACTATATTAACCGAGCACTACAACCAAAACACAAAAAAATCTCCCGAAAAACCGTTCGATCTGCTGCCATGAAGAGTTATCTAGAGTACAAATTGAAATTAGTAAATGAATTAGCTAATCTTCCTAGTAGAGTTTCTTTAACCGCCGATGCATGGGATGGTGGTTACGGACTCCACTATTTATGTGTTACTTGTCATTGGTTAGATAATGAGTGGATGTTACAAAAACGCATCATTCATTTCAAAATGCTTGAGTACCCTCATACCGGTCTTAACATTTCACATCATTTAATGGAAGCCATTGATGCATATAGTCTTAGGAAATCATGTCAATGACTTTCGATAATGCAACTTCTATGACATATAGTGCGAATTTGGTCAAAAACCAATTGACCGATGTTATATTAGATGGAGATGCACTTCATGTTAGATGCATTTGTCATGTTCTTAACTTGTGTGTGAAGGATGGAACACAAGCAATTGGTCCATTTTATCACAAAATAAGGAATGCTATTATGTCTATTAATAGCTCTAACATGAGATATCAAGAATAGAAAGGTTTTTGCAGGCAACAACGGATAAAAACCATAAAAATAGCACCGGATTGTCCAACTAGGTGGAACTCCACCTATGAAATGTTGAGTCGGGCAATCGAGTACAAGGTTCATTTAACACTTTTTTATAATATGAAATTTCCACAAAATGCTTTACTAGAAGATGATTGGGTTAATTGTGAAAAATATATGCAGTTTTTACAATTACTATATGGTATGACACATTGTTTTTCTTCTGTATATAATCCTTGTTCTCATTCTTTTCTTAGTAATGCATGTTTACTTGCATAACTTTTTGCAGAACACCGATCTCAACATGTTTATCGTGGATATCTTCCATCCATGGAGGAAAAATGGCGTAAATATTACACCGATATTCCTATGATTTATATTTTTGCTTCTATTTTAGATCCTAGGCAAAAGTATGATGGCACCTTTTTATTAATTGATATTTATTATAGTAACATGAATTTTGAAGATGATGTTGAAGCTTTTAAAAGTAAAGTGACAAATGATTTTTTTTTCTTTATACTCCACCTATGAAAGTAAATATGGAACCGTGTCTCGATTTGCCCCTTCTCAAACATCCAAAAATGTAAGTAAACGGGCCAAAGGTTTATTTGCACAAGCTGCTAACATGATGTCCAAGTTTTCAGGTACGGAATCATCATCAAGTAAGAGAACACAAAGCGATGTTTCGGAGTTGCAAATGTACTTAAGTTACGACTTCATGAAAGGCATGGACGATGAAGAGAAGTTTGGCCTCGACATCCTCGATTGGTGGAAATCACAAACCGTGAAACATCCAATTTTGTCGGCAATGGCTCATGATATTTTTGCAATCCAAGTCTCCTCCGTTGCCTCCGAAAGAGCTTTTAGTTCGTCGGGACGAGTTTTAGACGATAGAAGAACAAGACTAAAACCCGAAACACTTGAAATGTGTGTTTGCTTCAAGGATTGGTTGGAAGCCGAAACTCGTTCTCAAGATCGTACTTATGCACAAAACGACGACGATGAAGGAACGTCGACTTCTTTTAGTTCTCATACTTCTCAATCAACTCATTTGGCGGATGAACTTAAACCTCTAGAAGACGAAGACGAAGACGAAGGCGAAGACGAAGACGACCAATAATAATTACATGATTACATATTTACATTATACACTATTGTATTCTTTTTGTATTATCGAACTTCATATTCCGTATAATAAATGAAGTTATTCAATATTCATACACTATTGTACGATTTTTTATTATCATTACTTATTTTGTATTATTGAATTATCGTACATTCGTACCGCCTACCGTCATATAATAAAATAAGTTATTCTTCAATTTTTTGTGTTTTCGGATTATCGCACTCGTATTCTTTTTAATTATATGCATTGTTGTTTTTTGCTAAATTAATAAAATTGTTTTTATTTGTTTAAATAAACTTAAACATAATTATTAATTAGATAAATAATTTATATAACCTAAATTAAAATAAATTTGTTCAAAAAATGAAAACAAAATATATTAACATTAACATTTAACATAAACATATATTAATCACATATATTAAGTTGTACTAAAAAAAAAATATATCGTTTAATTCGTTTTTTTTTTTCATTTATTAAAAAAAAAATAAATAAAAAAATAAGCTGGCACGGTTTGGCCCGCGGCCCGGGACGGCACGGCCCGCAAGGCACGTGGGTCGTGCCGTGCCGTGGGCTGGGGTGTGCCAAATTCAGGCACGGCACGGCACGGCCCGCTGCGGAGTCGGCACGGCACGGCCCGTGGCGGCACGGGCACGGCCCGTGCCCATGTTTATTTCCAATGGTTGTTCTTTCTTTGAATATGAAAAATGATCCATTCAGACCCCGAGAAGAAAATGAAAATATTCTGGGTCCAGAAGTATCGTACTTAAGTGCAATTGGAGCCTTAATGTACTTAGCTAACAACACTAGACCCGACATAGCTTTCTCTGTGAACTTATTAGCCAGGCATAGCAATGCACCAACATATTGGCATTAATTGGAATGGAGTTTGACACTTACTCCGGTACCTACGAGGGACACAAGACCTTGGTTTATATTATCAACCGAAACAAGATGCTGCTCTCATTGGGTACGCATGCGCTGACTTATCGGATCCTCAAAATGCCAAGTCACAAAATGGATATGTGTTCACTTATGGCGGCACTGCAATATCATGGAAATCAACAAAGCACACATTGACCGCGACATCCTCAAATCATGCAGAATTGATACCCCTATATGAAGCAGGACGAGAATGTGTATGGCTGAGGTCGATGATCAGTAATATCCAAAAGGAGTGTGGAATGAACGCAATAACAGAAGACCCAACCATCATATTTGAAGACAATACATCATGCATTGCTCAAGTAACTGAAGGATATATTAAGGGAGATAAAACAAAACATATTGCCCCAAAACTATTCTTCACACATGATTTGCAAAAGGACGAGGAAATAGATATCCAGCAAATTCAGTCTTATGACAATCTTGCCGACCTGTTCACCAAATCACTTCCTTCGAAGAAATTTGAGCAGTTAGTTCACCGAATCGAAATGCGACATCTTCGCAAATTATGCTGAAATCAGGGGGAGTATTATATGCACTGTACTCTTTTCCCCTTCGATCAGGTTTTTACCCCACTGGGTTTTTCTTGACAAGGTTTTTAACGAGGTAGTATACCAAAGCATATAATACAATATGATTGTACTCTTTTCCTAGTTATGGCTGTCATCCCATAAGGTTTTACCTATCAAGGTTTTTAATAAGGCAACACATACCTTTTTATGTATAAGTATGGACATTCAAGGGGGAGTGTTAGAAGATAATGAATGTCAATTATTGATTTGATGTTATAATGGTCATATGAGTCCAAACCCTTGTGAACTCATATGGCTATATGTATGTAATTATTGTACTCCTAATTGAACACTCATGCTATATAAAGAGTGTCATGCAATTGTAAATGACATAAGAAAATTTACAGGAGCAACACTACCAATTTCTCTTAATAAAACTTGGGTATTTCTATATAGTAACCCTGTTTTTTTTTTTTTTTTTTTTTTTTTTTTTCACTTTTCTACGTTGTGCCCCAACATATATCACTTTCTACACTATAACCCCAATATATTTTTTGTTTCCATACGGTAACCTTGCTGTTATCCTGCCGTTAAAAAATTCCATTAGTGGGGCCCACTCTCTATTATTAGTATTTTTTTATCGATTTGCGCGTTGAAAAATATTCCGTCAAAGGTTTCGGGGGCTGTTTTGGACCTTAGGGAACCAAATTGAGCTCAGATTTGGCAAAAAAATAACGTAAATGCCTCGTTTTTCTTATTAAGAAATGTCTCGATTTATGTGTTCATATTTTAACACACAAAACGAGGCATTTATATTATTTTTTTTTGCCAAATCTGGGCTCAATTTGGACTCCTAAGAACCAAAATAGCCCTCAAAACCTTTGATGGAATATTTTTCAACTCGCAAATCGATAAAATAATAGAGAGTAGACCCCACTAATGGAATTTTTTAACGGTAAGATAATGACAAGGTTACCGTATGGAAACAAAAAAAATATATTGGGGTTACAATGTAGAAAGTGATATATGTTGAGGCACAAACTTTCTATCGGTTAATATTTAACATTTATTTTGTACTATTAAAAATTCCATTTGCGTACCAGCGAAACAAGAAAGCCGAAGACTGGCCGATCTACCATCGACAAGCGCTCACTTCCTCGCTCACTCTACTCACTCAAATTCCAGAAAATCATCAATCAATTTTCAAACAAACAATTTCATCGAAAATTTTCAAGTTAATTTAATGATGAGGGTTCTGCCCTTTGGGTTACTGCTAGTTTTAGCTTCTGGGTTGTCAATCATTCTCATTTACATCAATGGAATCTCCAATATTGGTACTCCCTTTTTCTCTCTCCTCTCTTCTTCAATTTTCAATTGCAAGTTTGAAATTTGATTTTTAAATTCTGGGTATTTTTTTAGATTCAAAATCACGGCTTTCTGATAAGGATTTGGAGGCATTACTTGCTCTTCAGAATAGTTTTCAACAGTGTGTGGTAAGCTTCTTACTGTTTTATATACTGGCTTTTCGTTAAACTATGTTAATTCAAATCATTGTACTATGAATTGCATTTTCTTTTTGGGTTTTGCTTTGCCAAATCTTTCTGTTGCATTTAATGTCTTGAATGAATTAATTGTTGTTGAATAGTTGATAGTATAATTTGAACTAATTAAAATACGGATGAAGGTTGTATGAAATATATGGATATAGTTGGACGGTAGTATGATTATTATAAACTTGGTATAATGTGTATTAACTGGATGTTTTTCGCGTAAATGTGAGTGTCCCATTTTATGTTGGAGTGTTGAGTGTTAGGGTGTTTGTGGTGCTGTGATGTGCTATTGAATCGTACAACTTGTCCAATTAGGCTTTCTATTTTTTGTTTCCATCAAAACTAAGATAGACTACCTTGCTTCAACAACTTGTCTCAACAACTTTTCCATGATTGTTGGCAATAATTATATGTTTTCAATGGGGTACTAATTGTTGATTCGCACAATGTGTTGTGATCTGGCCTATTGCCTATCTTCTAAGGTTGATGTCAAAGTCATGTTGCTCAGCATCATCAGAAAGTACTTGCTTTGATAAAAAAGAAGTTAGATTCATTGTCCACTTGTCCAGTTATTATGAACATATGTTTATAAATATGAGCCTATGCAGAGTATAATTTTGGGGGAAGAAGGTGGATAAAGCTTGGTACAAAGAGTAAAGAAAAAGCTGCAACATCATGGACATAAGAAACCCCATCTGACAGACTATTGAAATATGCCTTGAATATGTTATTAGTTGTGAACGAGCAAGATTAGGGGAATGACGTACATAAGGTTGGAGCTATAATTCGTGAGAGAGTGAGCTATCGTTCAGAGGGCCATTTTAGATTTGCAGTGGTGGATATATAATTATAGTCGAGTGAGCTATAGCTCTTGCGTGCACATGGCACCAAAGAGTCATAATGATGGCTAATCTAACTATCTAAGATAGTGCTTTGAGTCTCTAGTGATCATCCATCTGTTGATCATTGATCATTCCAATCTGTTGATCATTCTGTTTAATCTATTGAGTGTTCTAGATCAAGTATGTAACTTGTATTTCCTTAAGAATATCTATGTCGTACAGTCTTGGATTTGTAGGTGTCTGATTTGGTGTCGGATCCTTTGACGCTCTAGATTTTATTATATTTCATATAAGACCACTATATATTTGGATGTCATGTCGTGACACTCTACGTACAATCGGGTGATAGAGTAACATAGATTAAGACCAATAAAACTTTTCTTGTGGACGTAGCCAACATGTTGGTGAACCACGTAATATGTGTGTTTCTTATTGATTTTGCTCATCTTTCTTACATCCGTTGTACCAAATTGTATAAAGAGCTAGGGTTTTTATTCTGGTGAAAAATTTGAAGATCGACAAGTTCATAGGGAGGAATGGTTTTTGTTTGTGGCAAATCAAGATGCAAGACAATCTTAATAATTATAGTGTCTCGCAGAGTAAATCATTACCTAGGTTTTGTAGGAGGAAACCCCATTAGGTCTATGTATATGACGAAGTCTTTCACCAACAAGTTGTTTATGAATCAATGTCTATTTAGTTTGCAAATGTTTGAAGGTACTCCTCTTAAGAAATACCTAGATCAATTACAATTTTAATTAGAATTGTATAATACTTTTGTTTCGTAATATTTGCAACACTTTTTTTTTTTTTTTAAAAAGCGTTCTGCCTTATAATCAATCAATAAATCATAGCCTTAATCCCATAAGGGGGGTTTGCTTCATGAACCAATAATGATTATTTCGTTTAGTCATTCATAAGCTCTACTTGCCTTATTTTTTAAAAAATATCTCTCTCCTCTACTAACAATTAAATGTATCCCTATTAACTAATTCCTTTTAATACTTGCAACACTTCCATAACACAGTAATGTCACAATACTTGCAAAACGTTACAATTGGAAAGTTTTTTTTTTGGTTTTTTTTTTTTTGTTGAAAGTTGTAATATAACCCTTATTTTAATCTCATGATCCACTAAATTATACACCTAACAATCTCTCACCCTTGTTTTAAGCGTATTAAAAAAGTGTGTTACAAATGTTAAAAAATGGAGGAAATATATACTATAAAATTTCCACTTTGGTCTCTTCTCATAATTTAAGTAAAACTTTGTGCAATATTTAGTGTTGTGATTATTACGAACGGAGGGAGTAGGCAGAGTACTGATGTTAGAGTCGAGGACAAGGATGCTGCCTTAATTATCTTTGTATCTATACCATTGTCATATGAGAATTTTGTGTAGTCTTGTATGATTGGTAAAGATAAAGTGACTCTAGAAAAGGAGGCTAGGTCTAGTTTTCATATTGTGAATCAAGCTATAAAATGTTTGGTTATAAGGTATAAAAGTGGAGGCAATGGAGAGGAGATTTTGGGGTGTAAATTCAAGAAACCATTTTTTAAGGGTTTTAGACCTAATAATGTTTGTAATGATTGTAAGGAGAAGGACATTAGAAATCTAATTGTCTTAAGAAGAGACCATAATATAATAAGCACCAATTTAGACAATGGTTGCTGATACACATCACTTCATTGTGTAGATGGGTGTCTTATTATATGTGCTTTGTGCAAAGAGTGCTTTATTGACTATGAGAGGTAAATGGAGATAGTGTTTACATGGCCAACATAAGTATGCAAGATAGATGGTATAGGTTTACTTAGAATATATGGACATATGATGGTAAATTTTGCATGTTTAATTGTGCTAGGCTATGTTACTTGTATTTGGGTACCCATTCCCTATACGGGTACGTGTCTAAGTGTCCGACTTGGTTATTTTGTGAAAATATTTCATGATTTCGAACTAAAATGAAGTATTTTAGTGTCCTACCTATATCCAAGTTTCGTGGGCCTAACAAAAATGATTAGCCCGTGTAAGGTTTAACATAGGTTTTAGGCTTATTTCGCTCATGACAAAGGAGCTAATTTCACTCAATCTATAAGACAATAAGGGATTCAGCTTAAGAGGTGAACATGGAGTGTTGTATGTCTGTTAGTGCTGAAAGGTCTTACCAGGAGACCAAGGGTCTACTTTTTTGGTCTACCGTTGTCTAGTGTTTGAAAAATGTGCGCCTAGGCTTCAAAGGTCATGCGCTTTTTATGGTATAGCCGTATATGCAAGGCGATTTCGATAAAGCGCACCGAGTAAGGCGCATTGAGGTGCACAAATGTTTTTTTTTTTTTTTTTTTCAAAATTTGTATTATAATTTATTATAAGTGCCTCATTTCAATGAGGAGGCGTGCCTTAGGCGCAAGGAACTTGGAAACGCCTATGGTGTGCCTTTCAGACTTTTTATACATTGATGTTGTCACATCGTAAGTCTTGTGGAGCAACTAGTCACTCATTCTCACATCAAGAGTGATGAACCAGGAAGTTAGTTATCACTTCCTAAAGGTACGATTGTGTAGACATGGTGGCTTTTGCACTACGTATTGATGAAGAGGTGGATAATTCTTAGTTGTTCAAGGGAGTTATTTTATATACTATATGCTCAATGGCTTGCCGCAATGGGAGATGATATGGAGTCACCTCATAGTGATTCGACTTGAGAACTTGTTTTAAGACTTTTAGAGAAAAAGATAGTCCCGTGTAGATGGGTGTCATGGGTCTTCAAAGGAAGGATTTAACCAAGTATAGTGCTCGCGTAATTGCAAGAAGGGTTCTTTAGAAAAGGGAATAGATTACAAGGAGATTATCTCACCGGTGGCTAGACATATTTCCGTCAAAGTTTGGAGCTTAAGCAACTAGTCACAAAGTTCAACTACAACAGGAGTTCGTATAATTTTTTGTGTGTATTACAACAAGTTGAAAGGTGTGTTGTAGCTCGGTGACTCGGTGTATGCTAAGCTTTGCGCTAAGTCTATCCAATGTTACAAGGTACGTGGTTCGATTCGAAACGTGGTACGGAAACGGATACGTGAAACTTTACTCTTAGTGAATCCGGAACGATTGGATACGAAATAAATAATTAATATTATATTTTTAAGTAATTTTTTATTAACCAATAAGGGATAAGAACAAAATATATTTTAAGATATTATTTTTTAAAATTTTTTATTTTATAATTATTAATTAAATTTAAGGCTTTTTGGTCCAATTGACAGCCTCTGATCCAGTCCTATAAATTCAAATTTCACTAAAAAAAATATATTAAAGTACACTACACAGCTGTATAATACGGAGTACTAAATTAAAAGGTAAGATAAGAGGTTTAGGCCCACCACTATCCCCACCTACCCAAAAGAAGATTTTTTAATAAAAAAACCGCTGCGAGCTGAGGACCAACCCACTATCTCTCTCCTCTCACCTGCACAATTAGTTTCTCTCTCCTATTTCAAGAACTCTATCGATTTTAATGGAGGTTTCTCCATTTTTCCCCTTTCTTTTTCCCTTAAAAAGCTATGAAATCAGTTCGTGGACTCTAGCGACTCGAACCGCGACCTCCAGCGACCTGAGTCGCGTTTGTACCGTGTTCCGGTACAAACGAACCAGGTCGCGGTTCGGGCCAACGTACCGCGAACCTTGTAACCCTGAGTCTATCCTTCCATATGCTTGGAAGGAACATTGACAAACTATGTGGTACCTTAAAGGTACATTTAATGAATGTTCGAATTTAGAGTAAGTTCCAATGTTATTTAAACTCGCTAAATATTCGAAGATATTAGTTACCCTTTAGGATTCCTGCATTATAGAGTACTATACATACTTGGGTTTATCCCTAGCTGTCATGTTTTGGGAAAAATCTTGTAATCTTACTATTTTGCGATCATTTGTTGATCATTCAGAGTATGTTGATTATTCATTTGTTGGTAATTCTAGATATATTCTGTAATAAAATACGAAGGGAGTATAAAAAAACGAATGTTATTGTATAATACGTTGGATTTATCATAATGTATAATTTCATAATATCAATTTTTCTATAGTTTTACTAATAGTAGGGTTGAGCATAACAGGGTAGGGGTGAGCACAACAGGACCCTGTTGAAATTCCGGGAACTGGAACCGAACCTGTTGCAACAGTTGGTGGAAACTGGAACCGGAACCTACAGGTTCCGGTTCCAATTCAGGGTACCCTGTCTTTCAATATATTATGTATTTTTTTGCAAAATTATTTCAAAATAAATTTGAAGGTCATAAACATACAACTCTTACAACTTGCAAATACATCAAACCAAATATAGATAATTACCAAATTTAATACATATATTTATGACAATTGTTTATTTATTAGTTTATAAAAATCTGGACTTAATTTGATACATGATTTGGGTTTAAATAATGCTTTTAATAGGTTACAGGGTACCCTACAGGTTCCGGTTCCCAAAAATCGAGAACCTGAACCGAAACCCCTTGCAAAGGGTTCCCTATTTTACTACCCGAAATCAGAAACTCTTGTACAGGTTCCGTAAAACGGAACCTGTGGTTCCTAACAGGTTTTGGTTCCGATTCAGTGTACCCTGATTTTCTGCTCACCCGTAACTAACGGGTAATTAGATAAATTAAGGGGCCGTTTGGTTGGGGGTATTTATCAAAGGGAAAGGGAATCAACCACCCTGATTCCCTTTGTTGCTGTTTGTTAGCCCTTTTTTTTCATTCCCTTTCCCCCGTCCATCCCCCCAAATTCTTCTAAGCCCATTCCCCACCCCCCCCTAGGTATTTCCATTCCCATTCCCTACCACCACCACACCACCACATCACCACCTTCATACTTACCCAACCACCGGAAAACCCGACCACCGTCCTACCTGACCCTCGCCGCCCCTCCCCCGACCCTCGCCGCCCCTCGCCGACCCTCACCGACTCTCCCCTGCACCGGAATCGAATCGTTCGCTGCCCCTTTTTGCACCGGAATCGCACTTCGCTGCCCCTTTTCGCACCTCCCTCAACCCTTTTCGCATCTCCCCCAACCCTTTTCGCACCTTCCCCAACCCTCGTCGGAGGTTGTCGCACCTCAAACGGCGAGGGAGAATATTTTCTAGGGTTTATTCGAGGCTGATGGTGGTTTTTCGGGGTTGAGGGAGGGTTTGCGAGGGGCGGGGAGAGCTGTGCGAGGGACGGGGATGACCGACGAAGGGAGGCGAAGGGGGAGGGAGGTGCGGCGAGTGGTTTGGTGGCTGGAAACGGTGGAGAATGAAGGTTTGAGGTGGTGGTGTGGTGGTGGTGTGGTGGTGGGACTGGTGGCCCTCATTCCTTTTGTTTTTAAGACCAAACAACATAGAAAATTTTAGGTATTTTCATTCCATTCCCTGTCTTTCCCTTTGTTCATTCCATTCCGATTACCCCTCGCGAACCAAACGGCCCCTAATGGAAAAGTTGTGTCTCAACATACGTGTTTGGTCAAAGTGCAATACTTCAAAAAACACTGATAGTGTAAATTGTTGCAAGTAAAAAAAAAAAAAAAAAGGAGGAAGTATATATTGTTTAAATATTGGGCTTGTATTAATTGGGCTTAATCGGCAATTTTGGTTTCAAGTACTCATAACCGGAGCCCGTATTTACAGCGTACCGAACCAAAATCGGAACCGGAACCAATTGCAACAGGTGCCCAATTTTATTACTCGAAATCAAAACTTGCTTTTAAAACCGGAACCTAATTAGGTTTTGGTTCTCATTCAGGGTACCCTAAATTCCCCCCCCCCCCCAAAAAAAAAAAAAAACCCCAATGGTGAACCAAGTTTGTGTCCATTATAGCACAAACTTTGTAACTTTTCTTTTGTGTTGTATACTATTCTTCTATGCGAGTTTGTCTTGTTGACTGAAAGATGGGGTTAGTGTTTTCTGTAGGCCCTTCCTTTACACTTTGTTTGGATTGAAGGAAATAGAGGGAAAGGAAGGGAAGAGAAATTGAGGGATAGATAATCTCTCATTTGGATAGCAAATGAGGAACGAAGAGAATTGGAGGGGAAAGAAATGGAGGGATAGAATGGCAAGAAATTGATCTCTCCAAAAATGGAGAGATTTGGAAGGAAAACTCTTCATTCTTCCCTCCCCTCCCCTTCCCTTCCCTTCCCACCCCTTCTCCTCCCTCCCATTCTTTTCCTTCCCCTTAATCCATCCAAACACACTGTTAAGGTTGAATTCCTGAACATGTAAAGCGCCCAAGTTGTCTTAATGAAAATAAACCTTGTTTAAATGGACCAGCATGGCTTACTTTACTATGTTTAAGACTCTTAGAATTGATGCCTTCAATTGCTCATTTTTCATAATTAATTTTGTGTCTGCTCTTTATTGTTGCAGAGTGCAAATGGCTTGGGTTTGAGAGCTGTATTTGAAAAACATAGTTGCAAAGTTACAATGAAATTTCCTGATGAAACTGTCTCCAAATGGGTAATTCTATTTAGTTGCTTTATGGGGCTGAAAATTTGTTTTATGTCCACATCATCTTCCCCATGTTATAATTCTTTAATTAAGTCTTGCTGCTAAAATGGCCTATAATTTCGTACAGAATGACCCTAAAACAGGAGAGGCTGAAGGCTTGTCTCATGAATTCAATCTTTGTGAAGCTGTGGCAACCTGGGAACAGGTTAGCTGACTTTTTCTTGTATCATTTATTCTTAAAACAGTAAGGAGGTAAAGAAAAATATTATGCACAATGTTGATTTAGAAGTTGTCATTCAAAAATTTCAATATTATATTGTTTCCCTGCTACAAGGAGGAGAAAGAAATGAAAAAAAAAAAAACAAAGGTTCACAATCTTGTTTATGAATCATTTCAATGGTTGTTTTGTGGAGAACTTTCAGTCATTATTTAATTCGATGCTCTTCATTGATCTGTTATTTAGTGAGTTGAATTTCTCAGGTTAGAAATAGTACAACAGTCTTGACAAAAGAGTACATCGATGCTCTGCCTAATGGCTGGGAGGATTATGCATGGAAAAGGATCAACAAGGGAATCCAGCTGTAAGTTTTTTTTTTACACTGAGAGATGCCATTGCCATCCTGATGTACTTATTATTGCAAAGTATATCACAGAAGATATATTGCCTTACCCTTTGGATTGAAGGAAATGGAGGGAAAGGAAGGGAGTTGGAGGAGGGATGGAGTATCTTTCATTTGTATAACAAATGAGGAAGGAAGGGAATTTGGGGGGGGGGGGGAGAGAAGTAGAGGAATTAAAATGTAAGAAATTGATTCTCCAACAGTGGAGAGATTAGGAAGGAATACTCATCATTCGTCCCTTCCCTTTCTCGACTTCTTTTCCTTGCCCATTCTTTATCCAAACAAACTTGTGATGATTAATTGCTAATGTCTCAAGTATGGACATTGTCTATTGAATGGAGTATAAGCAAGACATATCTGACTATTGTGGGGGGTTGGGGGCAGGAGAAGGGAATATATCAAATGTTCATTAATCAATTTGTGTCATGCAGTACCTGATATGCCTGATTGCCTTTCTGTAAAACCGCAAGTCCAACATGATTTTTTTGAGTGGCAGAAATAATTGTCGAAACAAGGCCCTTTGCATGGAGAAACTCTCTCTGGTTCTTCCTCTTACACCTCCTTATTATCCGAAGCAGTTCCACCGTTGTGCTGTGGTAGGGAATTCTGCAGATCTTCTGAAAACCAAGTTTGGCCAAGAGATAGACTCTTTTGATGCTGTTTTCCGACAGAATGGTGCACCTATTCAGGTCTTAAATCTTCTATAAAATGTACTTGATGTGCAATGATTCACTTCTAATTATTGGTTTCTTGGATATGCAACAGAATTATTCTGAATATGTAGGCTCAAAGAGTACATTCCGTCTTCTGAATAGAGGGTCTGCCAAAGCTCTAGATAAAGTTGCTGAGCTGTATGGTACAAACTTTACTTGACTTCTTTGAGGTTTAATCAATATGCTTTAGAGTATCTGATAGGAACGTCTTGCAGATGCTGGAAAGGAGGCCTTGATAGTTAAAACAACTATTCATGACATAATGAGCAAAATGATCCGGGTTTGTATTCATTCCCTTGTTTCTTTTATTTGCCCCTTGGTTTAAGCGCAGTGATTTTTCCTTTAGTCAGTTGTAATTTGAGCCGACGCCCATCTCTTTCAGTCTAATTATACATACTTGGGAAATGGATACTTTATCCAATGGCTTTTCCCTTCATTTTAATTTTTGAAATTGCGAATTTGGTATGTAAAAGGGGGTGTGCTTTACAATAATAGTAGTGGAACTGTTTATAACAAACTCAAATTGATTTAAAAATGCTCATGATATCTGTGATTTTTTTGTTTCTTTGATTAACTATCACTGGTAGTGTGTTCTTGCTGTCCCTGAGCTATCTACACCTACTTTATTGCACTAAATTTGTTTTTCCTCCCTTTTGCAGGAAATTCCTATTCTCAATCCTGTATATCTCATGTTAGGTACATCCTTTGGCTCATCTGCTAAAGGAACGGGACTTAAAGCATTGGAGTTTGCACTTTCTATATGTGACACAGTGGATATCTATGGCTTTACTGTTGATCCGGGTTACGAAGAATGGTAATACTGAATAATGCTGTCATAATTATGAGCTTCCATTTTGCTTCATAAATCAGTAATTAAAGTGTATTAGCTCTTTTTCTGATTGACAATTGTTGACAATCTCAGGACTAGGTATTTTTCTGAATCCCGTGGAGGTCATACTCCTTTACATGGTCGAGCATACTACCAGATGATGGAGTGCTTGGGTGTGAGTGTCACATGCGATTTTCTTCTTATTATTTTTTTCTGCGCTCCATTCTCTTTCTTTCATTCTGAAGACTGTATTTATCAGACAAGAGAGCATTAGCCACTTTGATCTCCCTTAACATGAAAGTTACCTAAATTATTGTTTACATCCAATCTGAAGACAGTCCATTTTGTCACGTGGAAAATACAGTTGTGCTATGTTTCTCAGCTATTCAAAAACTGCATCTTTGTGCAGCTAGTATTAGTAATTCAGGCCAAGCTAAGATAATAAGAAATGACTTTCTTTCACCGACTTTATAAGAAAAAGAATGGTCGTTGACATTTTTGTTTTTTTTCATTTTGTAGCTGATCAAAATTCATTCTCCCATGCGTGCTGACCCAAATCGTGCTGTGAAGTCGCTTCCCAGCCGCCGCATTATTGCTGCTGCAAGGATTGCATCTGAGAAGATATTGGCGTAAGTAATCTTGAAGGCATTTGCCTCTTCTATCACTAAGATTTAAATCTAAGCTTGTTCCTTGGGCATATCTGCGTATTATTTGATGTCACATTGTCACCCTTGAAATTAATTTTAAAGTAAATGAAGGCTGAAGCTGAAGCATATGGATGCTTATGTTACTTGATGCTTAATATTGAGAAGTTCTCCCCCACATAACAGTTTCAATCCTTTACAGGAGAGTTGGAGCTGGCTCGACCGATCCACTAAGCCAATGTTCCATGATAAAGAAGCAGCAATTTGATCGGAAGCCTAAAACAACCCTCCGGAAGGCAGCTCTTGAGCACCAAAAATATGTCAAAGGGGCAACAATGTATCCTGTGGAGCATAATCCTGGCCATGGCTTGCTTTGCACAGTACCCCAGTAATTAGTTTTGTTCTGACCATGTTTTGAACAGACAAGACAGTAATTCTGTTTAAAACCAAAAAAAAAAAAAAAAAAAAAAAAAAAAAAAAAAAAAAAAAAAAAAAAAAAAAAAAACTAACCTGGTGGATTTATGGGCAATTGAGTTTTTTGGACCACTATTTTTATAACCTGGTGAGGTATAAGGGACCACATTTTTTGTCATTGATTTCTCTGTACTTAAGCTGTAATACTGTAATTGTTTTTAATACATAGAAACAATGCGTGGCCTGGACAATGCTTTAGGTTTTTACTTAGAACAATTGTTGGATAGACATTCATTTTTTTTTTTCCAATCTATTTACTTGTAGCTTTTCATTTTACCTATGAATATATTTATATATTAGCTTAGCTTGTGAATTGTACGAATTTAAATAATTATCCTCGTCTTTTTGGAGGTTGTCTATTTATGGAGAATATATACGTTCACTGTCTTGATGTGATTCAAGTATGTTCAATCGTTATTAATTGTCGGATAATATGTTGTAATGTACAATGATCTATATTTTGGAATCAAAGACAATAATCAAAATAAATGAAAAGCAAAATTGTTTTACAATAATATTTAAGTTGTCTTCTATATGTAACTGGATTTACTTTGATAAATATTAGAAAATATGACGTAATTTAATTGATTTAAAAAAATATCTCAAATTAAATGTTTTTTAATCCATATATAAAAGTATATACTACCGCCATTTCGTAGTGATCAATACTATTTGGCTTTTGCACTATTTTTTTTTTTTTTTTACCAATGTATGATAAACATATATTGCCATGTAATATATTTTTGGACTAGTCATAACGTATATTTTCATTATACTAGCCCTTTATATTTTTAAATAGTTATGCATTGACACATTTGTTATTCAAAGTGTTGTGACTATTATGAATCAGAACGGAGGGAGTATATATGAGTCCAGTATAAAATCATGATGCCCTTGGGAGAATCAGTAGTAAATTAAGCAAACATTATAAAAAACAAAGAAAATTGATTTTTTTTTTAAAAAAAAAAAACCATAAAGCATATTATAGTTTATACACATAAATAAAAGAAAATCAATAGACAATGAACATAGTTATCAGTTATCACAAAATAAAACAACACATTATATTATACAATAGTAATAAGGGACACCGAACCACGTACAACGTACAACAACACATGCATGAATTAATTAATTAAAAGCAGTAAATATAGAGTATGTGAAATGACCATAAAAGATGGTTCAAAACAAACATACAAGATATTCTACTATGATAAAGTAGGACGTACTAATACAAAAGTAGCTTATTTAACTCAACATACAGGCATACATGCATATAGCTAGGTTGATCAATCTACGAGTCTACGATACACATGTACCGCTGAAGTAGCGGTTGCAGGTTGAGCCGGAACAACACCAATTATTTGGTAGAATATCACAAGCTTCTCCGGCTGCTGCGCACGACAATGGTACGCTCTGGGAAGCCGCACCATAGGCCATCATAAAAATGATGGCCGTAGTAAGCATCAAGAGAACCTCAACACATTTCTTTGTATTCATCTTTATTTGATTATATCATATATTGTTATGTGTCTTTTATTTTGTTTTCTTTTTGGTGCTAATTTGCATCCCTTTTTATAGCCGTTCATAACAAAATGTCCTACTTCGTATAACGATGTCACTTGTAATAATGAATGCAATCAAAATCCACTATTCAACTTGTGTTTAACATCGCTCGTCAATTCGTCATTGCTACTGCTAGATGCTCTTCTTTGAAGTCGGTAATGTTCGATAATTATTATTATTAGATTATTATTACTAATTAATGACTTTGTTAGGATGGTCAGATTTGTTTAATGAAGCGTAATTTTGTAAGCTACTCTAATTTATTTAAATAATAACTTGGGCGGCTAATGCAAATGCGAGCGCCAAAACTAGCCATATTCATTTTTTTTATTTTATTTTTTGGTATTATATGACCTTATATTAGCTTCAAAATCTTGTTAAAGTATATTGAACATTGATAATGCATCAATTTTCAATTAAAAATAGTCAATAGAATGGGGATACTCATGACTTGGCCGTGATGTTTTGTTAATTTATAAGTCCCTGAATATTTTCTCCACCTCATCTACCATACAACCAATTGTTCCCTACAAGGGACAACCGATGACAAATGGGTGAATACTGAAATTTTTATGGCAAGGCATGGTGCACCTAGAAATCTGAATATTTTAAAGAACATGAACAAAAAAAAGAATAATATAGACATTTATAAAGCACGCGAGCATAATTGTTATTTGAGTTTGATCATTATGTTCTTTGAGTTTGAGCTATATGTTCTTTACATTATACAATATGTTCTTGAATGTATGTACATAAATAAAAAAAAAAAAAAGGTTAAATTCAACCACTTAAGTAATCATGAAAAAAACATGTTTTCTAATGTATTATCATGTTCTTTGTATTGCCATGTTTTTAATCAAACACAAACATGTTCTTTTGTCAAACACATATTTATTCATTTTCATACACTAGTATGTTCTTTTTGCCTTTTTAAGTTCTACCGGTTGCACTATGCACACCTGGGTGCACAGATCAAACACTCAGTGAATACTACATATAAGCAAACTGTGCAAAACTTGAAATAATTATGAACTAAAATTTAATTTTATTATTTCTTTATAATTGTAAATGAGTAAAATAATGCTTATACATGGAAATTGAGAGTAATTGTTTAGGTTAATTTTTTGTCATTGTTATTGCGGCCTTTGTTTGGAATGATACTGAAATCGCGTGTGTGTATTCATGGCTCATATTTAGAGTGGAGAGATTGGAAGAAGGGTATGGACAAATGAGCTCAATTACAGCAAATGACTAAATGAGCAAAACAAAATATGTGATCATCTTCTACAATTTTACACATCTTTACTTTGTTTTGCTCCTCAAAATTCTCATTTAGTATTCAATTTCAAAATATTAAGATAACTAACAGCAAAAGTAAAGGAAAAAAAAGGTAAAATAGAAGGAATTAAAGGGGGAAAAAAATCCAAACATGGTGGCCTGGATGGAGTTTTATAGTAAAAAACAAGAAAAAGACAAAAATAACTTTAGATTTTTTTTGTCAATTACCACTAGAGCTGTCAAAAACTGACCCGACCCGAGAACACGACCTGGACTGATAATGACCTGAACCTTACCTGTACTCGAACAATAGGGTGAAACTAGTGACCTGAACCTGACCTGATCTTAACCGAAAACCGATTTGATCCAATACTTTATGACCTGAACCCGAACCTACACCCGACCTAATAGTAACCGTCAACTGATTTAATCCGACCCAATAACAATCCGAACCCAAACTAGTACCCGACCCAATTACAACTTGTACCCGAGTCATGGAAGCTAAGGTTTAATAAAATTTTATATACCTTTTGTTCAGCTTATATACTGGTACAATTCTGTAAACCCTCAATCCGGTTTAATAAAATATTTTGTTTAGCTTATATACCTTTTGTTCTCTATTACTCATATATATATAGGTTTAATATAATTTTGATGGTGCTTGATCAATTTATGAAAAGGCGTAATTATGTAGTTCAACTTAATTGACCACATCGATATTTATTAGAATTGAACTTGAACCAAAACCCGACTCAACACTTACCCGAACCCGAATGTATCATCTTATTAACCCATCCAAACCCGACTCAACACAAACCGAACCTGAAATTGAACCCGATCTGAATTTGACTCGAATTGAACTCGACCTATATCCGAAAAGATGAACAACCCGTTATAACCTGAACTGAAATTGACCCGACATGAACCTGAACCTGATCTGAAGCTAGATTGACCCGACAACACTTAATCTTAATTTAACCCGAAACCTGATTTGACCCGACCCAAATCCGACTTGGATACCTGAATTGACAGCTCTAACTACCACCTACAATTGTTGCTGTTTTAACAATTACCATCTATAATTTTTTTATAAAAAAAAAATTTATCACCTAATATTTTTCATAACATTAAAATTTTCCAACAATTTGGTTCTGAATTGAAGTGTGATGTCATGTGGGGCATACTAACTACCTTACCCTATTTCCCTCCTTTTCTTTCTTTCTTTCTCAAAATTGGGGAAATTTTTTAAATTAAATTACATATTCATGTTAATTATTTCACAAATTGAACTTTTTCCCCAATTTAAAGAGGTGTACAATGGAATAAGAAATCAAGTGAGAAAGAAAGAAAAGGAGGGGAAAAGGGTTGGAAGGTAGTTAGTGGGCCCCACATGACGTCACATTTGAGTTGATAGACAAGTAGGTGAGAATTTTTTGATGTTTTAAAAAAAAGTAAGTTTGGTGAAATTCAAATAAAATAAAATAAAAAAATGTAAGTGGGAATTGCTAAAATAATACCAATTGTAGATGATAATTATCAAATTTTCTATAATTTTATAATTAAAAAGAAAGACATTAGAGAAATACTACTCTTATGAATTTAAATTTATTAAGGTTTGTTCGTTCACATTTACTGAACTGAGTTGAACTGAACTGATTGGAGCTGAGCTGAACTGAATTGAATAGAGCTGAAATGAATATTTTATAAGAGAAAGAAATTAAAATCTGAAGTGAACTGAACTAAAATGAAATGAGGTGTGCCACATCTATTACGCTACCGAGGCTTATCCGAGGCTTTTTTCATCTCCACACACCTTTGTGAATTACTTATTACTATTCTACTAAGGTGGCACGACTCCGGCACGGCACGACCACTGGCACGACACTGCACGGTACGGCGGCCCATTTGTGGGCCGTAGGCCGTGCTGTGAACACAAATGTTGAAAATTGGCACGGCATGATCGTCGGCACGCTGACACGGCTCGCCAGCAGGTTATTTTTATTATATATTATATAATCGTGGTGGCCGTAGCCTGACACGACACGACTTGCTAGGCACGTGCCATGGGCTGGGGTGTGCCAAAACTTGGCATGGCACGGCACGACCCGCCGCCAAGCCGGCACGGCACGAGCCCCACCCCAGCACGGCCCAGGCACAACCTGAAATGACACGGTACGGCACGGCATGATGCCCATCTTTAGGTTTACAACATCTATTACACTACGAACACTTGTTAGAATTACCGTATTCTAAGAGGACTACATGTTACCTTAATTTACCGATAGACTCAAATTGAATTGGAGATACTTACCAGCTCCATGCAAATCCCCCCGTTAAAATTATAGCTGTCAAAAATTGACCCGACCCGAAATACCGACCCGAACCCGATTATTAACCGACCCATATGAATCCGAAAAAATGGTGACCCAAACTTGACCTGACCCGACCTGAATCCAATCCTATACCCGATTTGACCCGAGTATGTGAGACCCGAACCCAAACATGAACCGACCTGGAGATGACCGACCCGAATGTAAC